TTTTTTTTTTTTTTTTTTTTTTTTTTTTTTTTTTTTTTTTTTTAGACCTTTCATCCTGTATGCCTTTATTCCCACCTGTTCTCTCTCCAGTTACATCACAGGAGTCATGAGAGGCCACTGTATGACTTAAATGTCTTGACATGAGTAATTTTTTGCCAGTAAAGGTAGCAGAGATACATCAGGACTTAAATATTTATTAAATACTTTGAATTGCATGTTAAACAAATGTTTTTCATACAGCAGCATGTATTTGACATTGTTCAGGCAGTAGTTAATGCAGGAAAATGGGATAGAATAGGCCCTGTGTTTTGATGATGATAAAAGGATTGTAGTAAGAAAAGCTGGCCTTTGTATATAGTCAGGAGCAAGTCCTCACCTAATGGATGTTTTCATTTTTTTTTTTTTTTTTTTTTTTTTTTTTTTTTTTTTTAACATCATTTTTTGGTTGTATTTCAAGAAGGGTAGAGTGAAGGATATGTGTCTGGATTTTGGAGAGGAGGAATGTGAGGACTGGTACACTTCTACCAACACGCAACTGCCCCCAGCCCTTAAAATAATGGGGAGGATGTGATGACACTGCTGTCCACTCTTGACTAGACAACGTGAAACCTGCAAATATTGGGCAGGATTACACAGTCAGTATAATTTGTAGTTTCATGTAAAAATGCTATCCTACATGTTAGGGATTTAGTCCTAAATTTCAAACTTTGTTCACCTTTTTAGCGGACTTGTGAGACTTATTTCTCACTTATATTTGTCCTGTCAACATTTCCTTTATTTCACTTTCATTGGGATTTCTGTGCTGTACCACTTAAGAAGTGTCACAGAATAATAAAATATAGTGATTTGCAAGACTCCCAAGAATCATAAGTCTAACCTCTGGCTGCACACAGCACCACTCAAGTCCTATATTTGAGTGCAGTGTCCAAATGCTCCTTGAGCTCTGACAGTTCAGGGCCATGCCCACTGCCTGGGGAGCCTGTGCCCTGCCCGTTACCCTCTGGCTCAGAATGTTTCCCTAACACCCCGTCTGACCCTCTCCTGACACAGCTCCATGCTGTTCCCTTGGGTCCTATTGCTGCCCCCAGAAAGCAGAGCTCAGTGCTCACCCCATGTCATTGTTTATGTATCTTGGCTGTTAGGATTGAGCTTGGAGGTTGGTGATGCATTAGATTTTCTTTGTAAGGTATGTAAAAATCTGTGTGAGTACTTGTCTAGTTTTGGACAATAGTTCTTTTTTGTCTGAAACAAATGCTTCAGAGGGGGCTGGTGCTAATTTACAAAATAAAAGGATAGAAGTAGGTAAAGACTTCTGTAGATGGGACTTGCAAACAGGAAGATTTCCTGTTTGCACTGCACTTGCTGTCTAAAAATACTGTGCTGCTGGGTGCAGTAGTGTTGTAGTGACCTCCTGCCAAATGTCTTTCTCTCTAAATAATGAAAAATGAGCCCTGGACTAGGAGCGTGTCATGATAGATATCAACGTGTCAGCTATTGTGCGTTATTGCTAATTATATCTGCTGAGTCTCTGAAAACTTTGTGCAATGCGAGATAAATTATCCTTAGTGAATGTTTCATACACAAATGTGTTTTAATACCAGTCAGCAGCTAATCATCCAACTCGTTACTCACTTTCCCCCTGTGGAAGAGGAGCAAGAGCAAGAAAATTAATGGATAAAAATATAGTTGAATTAGCGAAGAAGAAGAAAAGAGAAAAACAAAACAAATGATGAAAATAGTTCACTATCTGCTACTTTTAGACAGATGCCAGTCAGTCCCTGAGTAATGTCTGCTTTCCTCAAAACCCCTCTCCTCTCAGTTTTATTGCTGAGTATGTTGTTGTGTGACATAGAATATTCCTTTTGTTGGTTGGGGTCAGCTGTTGTGGCTGTGTCCCTTGTCATCTTTTTTGCACACCCCAACCTTCTCACTGTGGGGAGAAAGAGAGCCTTAGAACTATCCAAGCACTGTTTAGCAACAGCCAAAATGGTGATTTATTTTGGGCACAAATCCAAAATGTATCACTATACAGTCCAGTATGAAGAAAATAAAATCCATCATAGCCAGATCTGAAGTAAGAAGCTTGCATGTTCATCTGGAAATTGTTGGTATGGTCAGAATTGCAACATATTTATGGTGTTGCAGGTGAAGATTCATGCTGGCCCAAAATTTGCCTCTTACTTGACATTCAGCCCCTCTGAAGTGAAATCTCTCCGCACTGAATATGGGGACCTGGAGTGCTGCATTGAGGTTGTGGACAGTGTCCCGGAGGCTGTTGAACATATCCACAAGTATGGAAGCTCTCACACGGATGTTATCATCACGGAAAATGGTTTGTGAGCAGTTTGTTTCTTTCTGTTTTGGTTTTGCTCTTGGTTTTAGCATAACTACTTATGTTGCAGTAGTTTCTTTTACTGTGGTTCCAGAGTAGGCATAATCTTCTCTTGCCAGGTAGATTGTTTTGTGTTCCTGGACCACATCAGGCAGTTTTGCAGGAATGTCTCCTGAATTCTGAAGAAGTCCTTAGGCCTCCGTAGGATGAAGAGGTGAATTTCTGTGGTGGGAATGGACTGTAGGGAAAATCAGACTGTATCTACTTTGTCTTCTCATGTCATTTCTATGTCTTGCAAACAAGGACCACAAATGTTTTTCCCCACCTCTTCCAGTCCTTTATTTCCCAGTTCTGCATCTGTAGTTTAAAAGCTGCATTTGTCTCAGTTCCCATTTTCTTGCTCCTTTAATGCTCCCATCCCTAGTACCTGTTTTACGTGCAGCTTGTATGCTGTGCCAGTTCAAAACATAGTGAGAGCTGCTCCCAGCCAAAAGATGACTCTTAATCCAAGCCTTAATGCAGATGAGGGTCAGCTGCAGTGACGTTGCGTTGTTTGTGGCTCATCCATGTAAGCTCCAAGCAAACTTGTGCTTCTGTACTTCCTGCAGAGCTTAGATGAGTGGCACCAAAAGGCGTGCATACCATGTTTTTCCACTTTTTTTCTTATCATTGCAGGCTTCTTGTAACATTTGCAGCTCTGTCTACTTGATAAGAATACTGGGAATGTGTATATGAACACATTCTAACCCAGGCTGTTTAGATACTTCAGACAGTGTTATTGTGAAAGTTCTGCAGTTTTGTCTGTTCACTGTATGAGGCTCTGTATGTCACAGTGCATGATAGTTCCTTCTGTAGGAATTTTATTTCCTGCTCTATTTCTTTCCCAGAGAAAACAGCAGAGTTCTTCCTCCAGCACGTGGACAGCGCTTGTGTTTTCTGGAATGCCAGCACCCGATTCTCTGATGGATATAGATTTGGACTTGGTAAGTGTTGTAGTTTAACTCAAAAGGCAGCTCGACACCATTCAGCTGTTCAATCACTCTTCCGTTTGTGGGATTGGAGAGAGAATTGGTGGATAAAAGGTAATGTTCATGGGTTCAGTTGAAGACAGTTAATAGGAAAGAAAAAGGAGGGGTTTTAAAAAAACAACCATTGTGATGAACAAGTGATGCAGAATGCAGTTGCTTACCACCCATGGACCGATGCACAGCTGCTCTCTGAGCACTGGCAGCCCCCACAGCCAACTCCCCCAGTTTTAGTGTTGTACAATCAGTAGGTATACAGAGGTTAGGCTCAGAAGTAAGATCAATAAGTATACAGATGCTAGGCTTAGTAAGATAATCACGGTGGAGAGATAATTAAAATAAATGGAAATGCTCACCGGTGTCATAGGCTCGCAGTAAACTCCACAAGAAGTGATCTCAAGAGAGAGGGGAGATACATCCTCACTGGCATCAGCCCTTAAATGGGATGTAGGAGAGGAGGAGCTGGGCTCCACCCCTTCTGGTAGCTCCCGCAGCTGACTCATTGCTGCCCTCAGGTGGTCAATCAGAGGTCGTGATCAACAGTTCCCATGCAACTGCTCAGTGTGGTGTCACATGGCCTGGAATACCTCTGTGGTCTGTTTGGGTCAGCTATCTGTTCTGTCCTCTCCCAGCCTCTTGTACACTCCCAGCCTCCTCGCTGGCAGAACTGTGTGAGAAATTGAGAAATCCTTGACATAGTGTGAACACTGCTCAACAGTCACTAAAACATCACTGCATTATCAACGTTATTTTTCTCCTAAATCCAAAACATAGAACTATATCAGCCACTATTAAGATGATTGACTCTATTTCAGCTGAGAACAGCTGAGAGTGAGGAAGAGGACATTGCAGAGATAACTGTAGTATCTACTGATACGCGGGAAGTGTGGCAAATACTCATCTTGGTTCTGAAAAACATGATTAATTTCTGGTCATACTGCCTCAAACAAGGTTTACAAGAAAAAAGTGCAGGAAAAAAGCCTAGCCCATTCATTCAGGCAGAATGTAACAGTTCTATTTCTTTCCTGCTAGAGCTACCTGATACTGTTGTGTAGACAATTTAGCAGTAGGGAGCAAAAATATTTTAGATCAGTTAAGGTTCTGTTAAATCAGAATAAAATGTGTTGTATGCGTGTAATGACAGAACAATGCAACATGGGATCTGAAATGGGTGAACAGTTTATGTTCATCTTTCTGTTAATGCTGTAAAGAATGCCACGCTTTGTTCCTGTTGGGCAGATTGAGCTGCGGTCCAGTGGTGTGAGACGAAATACAGACTGCAACCGAGCAGTTACCTAAATAAGTGTGTACCTACTGCAAATTGCAGAAGACATGAAAAACAATCTTTCCTGAAGTAGAAACAACTAGAAATCTCTGGAGCAGGCTACTGCTGTGCTGGCTGGGAATATACAGTGCTCTGTCTGCTAAAAATGCTAGCTTGCAGTCTTAACTAATGTAGCTCTTACTTTTCAAGAGGTAAACACTCAGCAAAAAAAGTGTAAAATATATAGAAGACATACCCAACTTTCTAGCTTCTCTCTCTAAAAGGGGCCCTGTAGGAGCCAGAAGTATAAACAAGTCCATATTATAATGGACCTATATTATAAATGCTCATCTAACTAACTTCTCCATCAGAACAGGTAAACATAACTTCTGACGCTTTGGGAGAATGGAAGAAGACAGGTCACCCAATGGTTTTTTCTACATGAGGATGCAAAACTGTATTGTACCAGGTTGAATATCTTCTGAGGATTGACTGACTTTATCTTGTATGTTTTCTGCAGGTGCTGAAGTTGGAATTAGTACTTCTCGTATCCATGCACGTGGACCAGTAGGAATTGAAGGACTCTTAACTACAAAGTGGCTGTTGAGAGGGGACAATCATGTTGTTTCTGACTTCTCAGAGCATGGCAGCATGAAATATCTTCATGAGAACCTCCCTCTGCCTCACAGAAGTACCAGCTAAGATCACTGAGGAGGAAAACCAGGGTTAAAATGTTTAATGAAGATGTTCAGGCTCCAGTGCATTCTCTGAGGATAGAGATTTGCTTTTCATCTCCAGGATCATTGTTCTTAATCACTGTGCAGTCCATGGAATATGTTGTGATCCTATCTGTGACATACTTGATGTGTTGCTGCCTTCTGCTATTTCCTTTGGTAGTATCTGCAAATAGACTTTGTTTTTCCCAGAGACCTTTTTTGAAACATACATTTTCTTCTAGGAAAAGTTCAAATATCTGCTGCGTTCTTTTCATTCCATTGTTCCCTCTGGCAAATATGTATGGTGGTGGGGGAGTATACATTTTTTAACCAAGGTCTTTGTTTAGTTGAAACATTTGTTTTATTGAACAAACTTGGTAGCTTTTCTTCAGTCATGTGATCATGGCAGCTCTTGAAAGCTCTAAAGCTTTGATGATTATTTTCTTAGTTTTTGATTACACTTGATTACTATGCATTTGGAACGTACCTTTCACTAATGTTCTGATGGAACAATCTTTTATATCTGATTTTGTTGTTTTTGTTGACAGTCGTAGATAAATAACACAATGGTATACAATGTGAATTTTGTTACCTGTTTGTACTAGATGTTTATTTCTCATTGGTTTTATATGAAACAATCCCAGTAACTGGATCACCCAGACATAATGCAACTTTGAAGTTTAGAAAAAAATATGTTTGAGTAAAAGCTTCCGTACTGAAACAAGTGAGCATGCAAGCACACACTGCGGTCAGAGGCTCAGTGCAGCACTCCAGCGACTGGGGCAGTTGGAGCATCGTGGCAAACCCTTTAGGTGATGATGGGGGACTGTGGGGGCTCAGTGTGTAGTTGAATGCATCTGAGGTCCAGTAGGGCACAGAGGGAAACCAATGGAGAACCCTAGAGCACACTGAGGAGCTGTGAGAGGGTTATAGGGTGCTGTAGGATGTGTCTAGAGCTCCCTAGAGCATGCTCAGTAGCTCTGGGACGTTTCTGGTTATCTCTAGAGTTCACTGCGTGGCCCTGAAAGGGCACTGGGTTCCATGAGAGTGTTCTACAATGTCCAAAAGTCAACTAGGGGACCCTTGGAAACTTCTTAGGAAGTCTCTCAGAGGCCCTAGAGCATAGGAGCAGATTGCATTACAGCTGATTGGCTCTAGAGGGTTGGTAATGAAATTGCTCTATTCAACATTTATTAAAGATCTCTTCTTTCCAAGGTACTATTGTCATGCTGCTGCTACAACTTTGCTAAAAGAGATTTAGTTTACTCAACATTCCATTAATGCTACTAAAGCACTTGATGGGTGTTTCCAGAGGAGTGGGGGAGCAGCTCTGAGAGATTCAGCATCAGCCCAAAATCTGGAACTGGTAACTAGTAACAGAGATGCTTGAAAAGAGTGAGTTTGCAAATTATGTTTTTATAAAGTTGTATTTCATCAAGTTTCCTTGATGAGTACATTGAAGAGCCATTTATTTCAGTATAATAGAATTTTTGTACTGTTTAGAGTTTATAAGAAATACTTCAGACAGCGAAATGCATTACAATTCCATGTGAAACTTATAGTATGGTGAATCCTACAAGTGAACTGCAGAAGGAGATACTTTTTGCAGTTACATCACTGTCTACGCTTTATTCACACTCATTAAGTGGTTTTGATGCACAATCTAATGAACAATGGCAAAACAAGAAAGGCATAATGTCTGCAGGAAGTATCGTATTTTGGATTAAAATGCCTAGATTGTATTCAGTTTATACAAGATGCACACAAAAACCCATTCAGTCCTGAAAAACTGCTTTGCTTTCCCTCAGCCATAAGGAGGAGTGGCAAACATAGTAATTTCTATAATAATGGTCATGTGCAACATTGCAGTTAGTTGCACTGTTCTTCACACTGAAATTGGAGGTAGGGATTGATGCTCGGCTGAACATGAGGCAGCAGTGTGCCCAGGTAGCCAAGAAGGCCAATGGCATCCTGGCCTGCATCAGACACAGTGGTGCCAGCAGGAGCAGGGAGGTAATTGTCCCCATTCCCCATACTCAGCAGTGGTGAGGCTGCACCTTGAGTATTGTGTTCAGTTTTGGGCCCCTCTCTGCAAGAAAGATGTTAAGGTCATGGAGCATGTCCAGAGAAGGGCAGCAAATCTGTTGAGGAGTCTGAAGGTGTTCTCGTGTGATGTCCCATGCTAATTTGCAGATAATGCTAAACTGCCCCTGCATTCTGCTCTTCCTGTTTCACTTTAGTCCTTTCTGTAATCTGGAAAGGAGGAATTAACTTTGTTCTTTAGGAATTAAGCAATTTCTACTTAGCGCACACTTAGTCTCTCATTGCAGCACCATTTTTGATCTAATGCAACAGCTTCCTAGAAATCAGTCCAATGGAAATTCCCTGCTGTCTAGTAATAAAGTCTGCCAACAGACTGCAAGCTGAGATCGAAGCCCTGCAGTGCACTTCTGTGCTGGAGGTGCTGCCTTGCATATGCGGGACAGTGCCTTCGTCACTGCATTGCGTTCAACAGGTGGTGTCAGGGAACCGCAGCGTTCCTGGGTGCTGTGACAGCTGCAGTGAGAAATCTGCAGCTCTTCATGAGAGCAGCGAGAAATAGAAAGCTTCATTTCCTGGCATGCCCTGACTTTGCTGACCAGCTGCTGGTTGCCCAGACTGGTAAGGACAGCATACCCCACCAATGTTTACCTGTTCCTTACTACAATGTAGAGCTCCCAAAGGAGCTTGTTACTGAGCTGTAGGGTACTCTGCAGTCTGCCTGTTTTCTTCCTCCTGTGTTCTTGACTCTGGCCTTTCCCTGCAGTCTTGCCCTTGCCTTGGCTTTCCTTTGGGCGTTCCCTGCGGCGTTTTCTTTGCCCTTGCCCTTTCCTTGGCAGTTCTCTACGGCGTTTTCCTTGCCCTTGCCTTTGCCTGCTCTGGGTGTTCTGCTTACATTTGCCTCACTGTGATTGGCTGGGAGGCAGCATTAATTTTTTTCTTGACCTGAACCCCAAGCTGCATGGGAGCTCTAAAGATAGGTATACCAACCCACAGTGTAGCTCTAAACCTAACGCTTTTGGCATTGGGTTAAGAGTCTGGGGATCATACTCACAGGTGCACGTGCTGAGTTTCCCCAGAGCTGCTGAGCAGGCAGACTTCCCCAGCTGTACTGACCGTGCCCTGATCACCAAACGCCTTTGTGTCATCGTGTCTCACAGCCCTTGGCATCTCGCTACGGCGCTGCTCATGAGAGTGATGTGCACAGGGTGCAGCTCCCGCATGTGTGGGGCAGCGCCTTCATTATTGAGTTGTGTTTAATGGGCGGCAATGGAAGAGGGTCTGCTGTTTCTCCAAACAACATTGTTAGCTATCCTGTCTCTGGAATGCAGGGTACAGTAAAGCCACAAATTAACAAAGCATCAGCAGATTGGTGGATGGAATTCTGGAGTTGTAGCTGATAAGACGACTGGCTGGAGTGAGTCAAGCATCCTTCAGCTTGATCCCGGTCAAAGAGCGCACAGCGAGAAAGGCATCTGGCCTTCATCAGAAGACCACCAGGTGACCTATGAGAGATACCACGCGTGTGTAAAAGAACTGAGACGTGGGGCGAGGAAAAAAGTCAGTGCTTTTGGGGACTCACTGTAATAACCTGACCTTTTCTTGGACTTCCACCAGACTGCGAACTTGGGCTTTATAGGCTAGAGGTGGAGCTAACACAGAGACCTGTGGATTTTCAAAAAGGGACAAGAAGGCTGAGAATCGAGTGCTTTCTGGACATTTTTACTGGCTGTCCTACTGAAGGATGCTGCCTGTCCATCGGCACGTTCGGTTGGTTTGGCTGGAGCTTAGGAGCTTGGTGCTCGTGACTACAGTTCTTTGTGATACATAGCTGCGCCATTTGCTGCCCAGACCAAATGCAAATACTATTGGAGGAGATTACACTATGCATTTTTTTTTCTTTAATGCCGTTAAAGTGAGAATGGTACATGCCTTCAAACAGGTAGCATATAAAATAAATTTATGTTTCTTTTTTTTCCCTTTGTTCCCTGGAGCAGTGGTTCGGGGAAATATGGATGCTTTCTTCTCTGCCGCTGTGTTTCCCACAGTGGTGTTTTGCGAATGGCTTCTGTTGTTGATTTTCAATACTGAAGGAACACAGCATTCTTCTTATTCTGCCTACGTAGAACTGCCCTTGTTTCCTCTGTAGTTTTGAGCTGTGCTCTGGAACAGAATGTTCAGCTGAATCTAGAACAGTTGCCCAAGAGGATTTCCCAGGCGGAGCTCATCAAGCTCCTTGCCTCTTCACAAAGCGTTCTCATCGTTCTTATGCAGTGTTCTGTGTTACTGCTGTGCTGAGACTTTTGTGACAAATCAATTCTCTGCTTCCCAAAGGTGATGCTGAGAAGCTCGCCTCACAATGACTTATGCAGACCTCACATTTCATATTAATTCTTTCCGTGGGTCCAAAGTAGACCAAATCCTTGAAACCGTGCCTGGGAATCCCGCTGTTATTAAAACAGTTCAGCCGTGGTGCCCGTGGTCAGAACGCCCTGCGGCAGATTCTGGTCTCACTTGTGAATGGAAGAACTGACGACAGATCGCTCGGTATCAAAATTGATATCGCAGTGGATATTTACAAGCCTCAGGAGACCCGAATGGGATCTCAGAGTGGCGTGGCCAGGTATGGAAGTTGTTACTGCTATGTTTTTATTCTTGAAGTTGAATGTCTGTTTTGCGTTGCAATTGTTTTGCAACGTTAATGATTGTTAATAATTCCTAGCCATCCTTGGCTTTGCTGCGCACACCTGTCCAATTGATACCAGCTTTTTCATCATCTTGGAGGCTTACAGAAAAAAAAAAAAAAAAAAAAAAAAAAAAGCATGAAAAAAAAAATGATTGATGATTACTTATTGATTTACAGATATTCTTATGCGCTTAGCAGAGGTTTGCTGGGTGTAGAGAAGTTTTTCTTGGTTTTCTTCGTCTTTTTCCAATTGACGTAATTTTTTCCTCCCTCAACCCCCATCTAACTGCGTTTTTCCTCTGCCTTCACGACAAAGAGAAGGGAGCGCGAGAAGCTGCGGCGCAGCTCCGCGTCGATCCAGCCGTTGTTCTTGTTTCTACGGTCTCCGGTGCCCCCTGGTGGCCAAAGGTGGAATTGCAACCGTGCGTTTGGCGCCGCAGGTAGCAGGGCGCATGCGCGCAGGCACGCGGCAGTGGTGTATTCGTGGTGTTCTTGTCGCTCTGCGCAACCTCTGTTATTGATAGTCTTCCAGGCAACAGCGCGCATGCGCCAGAAAACTCCTAACTGGCATTCAAATCTACAAAGCCCCGAGGTGCAGGCGAGCAGTCGATTCCTGGACCAGTGGCTCTTCCAATTGGCGGTACTCCTCGTCTATTTCCTCGGACAGTTTGACACTCGATCCTGCCTCGGGAACAGACTATGCTGGCTCCCAGCGGCTCCTGCGCCCTTCGCACGTGCAATGAGGAGTTGAAAGTAATGCACGTGTAGGTGTATACTTGAAAATGCACGTGCCCATTGCCGTCCCGGGCCGCAGGCGCATGCGCGCTGCTGCCCTGGGGCTGGTGCTGCGAGGGCTTATAAACGGCTGGGGATGGAAGGGGATGTTTGCTAGTTCACCGGGGCGGTGAGCAAGTTGGATGCCACGAGGCGCTGAGGGGCAGCTGTGAGCCGAACCGGTCAGTTCCCAGGTGGGCTCGGGCATAAAATGACGAGGGTCATCCTGGATTAGAAGGGGGGAATATCACTAAGCCAGCAGTCCAAGAATCGGCTGCTTGCCCATACCCGTAGTGGTTTTTCGAAACAGTTGCTATTTTTAAGTTGACGGGCAGTTGTTCACTATTAGCTGGAGGACTGATCACCAAAGAGAGCGGTGCATTAGCTGCGCAGAGCGGTTAAAACACCACTTCCGCATTTCTAGGCGTTATGCTGCTGGCGGGACTCGGCGGCAGACAGCGGCAGTTCCGCGTATTGGCCACGAAGTGGCAGCAGAGACCGCGGAAGGAACTTTCCTGACGGGATTGATTGTGGGACTCGGCGACAGACAGCAGCAGTTCCGCGCACTGGCCACGAGGAGGCAGCAGAGACCGCGGAAAGAACTTCTCCGACGAGATGGGGCGCAGTGCCTGGCAATTCGATCTGTCTGTGTCGTGTGAGGACGGGAGAGGAGCAGGACATTAGAAGTGGAGGAGTTGTGGGGGGAAAGACGAA